TTCTGATCTTAAAGCAAAATGATGCCAGTGTTGGTGCTATTGTTGTTGTTTAGTCATTCGGTTGTGTCCGACTCTTTGTGACCCCAAGGACCAGAGCACGCCAGGCCCTCCTGTCTTCCACTGCCTCCCAGACTTGGGTCAAATTCATGCTGATCGCTTCGATGACACTGTCCATCTATCTCATCCTCTGCCGTCCCCTTCTCCTCTTGCCTTCACACTTTCCCAAATCAGGGTCTTTTCCAGTGATTTGAGGACTAGGAGTCAGTAACGGTTCTCTCTCAGTTGTAGTGAATCCTGCCCTTTCTAAACCTCCATGGATATAGACAAATTCTGCTAAATAGAAATTCCTGGCTTCTCCTGGCTGATAAGTTTCTCCTACAAAAAGTGAAGAAAAGAACCAGAGAATTAGCTATCCTGGACTTGATCCTAACCAACAGAGATGACTTGGTGGAAGAGGTGGCAGCAACAGGAACTCTGGGGGAAAGTGATCACTTTCTACTTGAGTTTGTGATTTCACGTTAAGCAAAAGAAATATCCAGGTTGGACTTACAGCTGGGGTCGAGGTGGGGGAAAAATGAGCATACCAAGCCTAACTCTTCAAGTTGACAATGGTCTTCTTCTTATGCCACTAGAATGGTCTGAAACACATTATACAGAAGAGCTCTATGGATGTCTGCATTGGAGTGGACAGCATCTCAAAGACTTAGCTTTCTGAGTTGATAAGGAGTAGCTTAGGAACAGCTGGAAGACATGATATCTGATGCCCACTCCCAAGAGGAGACAGGTTTAAACACACACATTGTGGCCAACAGGCCTCATAATAGGTACCAGATTCAGATTTTTGTGGGCTCATGGCCAAAAAATCATCACTCCTGTCCTCCTGCACACACATATTCATAAAAGCATATAAATCCCATAATCCTCTAGTGTGCAGGAATTAGCTAATACCTGTGCAATAGATGATTGTGGGAGGAACACCTAGCCCCTGATGGGGGTCCCGCAGGGCACCCCAAAACACTGAGAAGCTCTTTTGGCCTCTGGCAGGACTGGGGCTGTGCAGCCCTGTACTGAGTGGGAGGTGCAGCCAGGGGGTCACCATGACTGGGGGGGGGTGTCAGGGGACAGAAAGGGTAGGAGATGCAAGGGCCATTCCAACTCATACATTGTAGGAGATATACCATGTTGTAAAAATGGTTTTCCCAGGGAGAGGCTTATCCATTGCACTTTGGGTGTGCTGCTGATCTCTGTGAAATATGGGGAACTCAACTGCATAATTTGTGTTAATGGGAAATTGCACTTGTGATTTTCCTGGTTATTCTAGATTTCTTTTCACATCTCTTTCTCCTCATCAGGACCTATTGCAAAGGCAGAAAGTCCTGGTGATGTCTTGTATTGCATTCTTTCTCTTTTTCTTCATTATGGTAAAGGATCAGGCCAAAAGGAGTCATCATTATCAGGAGCCAGGGGGCTGCTTTGACTCCTTTTACCCTCTTTCTTTGTTGCTGGAGAGAGAAAGAGGGGGAAGGCTATCTGAGACCCATTGGATTTCTAAAGGCAGTGCAGGTGAGGGGGTTGCTTTCCCCCATTATGGTATACGGAACTGTGTTTTCCAGGACTATGTTTTCTATGGATAATTTTTGCAAGACAGTGATTTTTTCCCCCAATTGGAATGCATTAAAGGAATTTCAATGCATTTCAATGGAGAATTGGATTTCACAAGACGATGTTTTCAGGACAACGATTTAAGACAGCGATTTAATCGTCTTGCGAGGCACCACTAGATCCTTTTGTGTTCAATGAAATGACTGTTGCATGAAAGATATGAAAGGAGGAGCATAGGAAAGTATGCAAAATGAAACAAAAATGAAAGTTCTTGCTCTTCACATTCTTATAGGTAACAGGCGGTGCTGAAATGAGTCAAGAAGATAATCCTTCAATTCAGGGATTACAATTTTGATTCCTCTACCTCTTTATACCTCTTTTCACCCAATCCCAGGCTAGGGAGATGGGATAAGGGAGATTTGATTGCAAAACATACTGCACTTGGTCGCAAAACAGATTAGGTCATTCCCCCCCACGACACAATGGAGTTGGTGGCACTTTCTGGTGATGGCACTGCTTTCCTTATCTCACCCTTTTAAGGTGCAGAGTTTTCAAAAATGAGTGAAGTTTGACTGGAGGAAGAAAAAGTTTACAATTTTAGTCAGAGAGACATCCGTTCATGTTCTGTATTTCCCAGACATTTAGAAAAGGTCTAGCTGAAGCATGTTGGAATATGTTGTCAAACACGACAAAGGCAGCCTTTATCTTGGAGGAATAAGAAAAATTGGTTTGGCTCCATTGGGATGACACAAAAGTAGAGATGGAATCAAATGGATTGGCACTAAATCTGTACTGATAGCTCTTCTCCCATTAAGTTCATCACGAAGTAGGGACATCCTTCCGCTTAGGAAGAAGTTCTACTTTTCTTGGTTGTTGACCTTTTGAATGAGCAAGGATTCCTCAAAGAGTACTGGGAAGATGGAGACTTGGGGAGGTTTACATTCCCCCACTATCCTGGTCAAGGGTCTTGACAGCTGCCTTCAGCTGATTGAGGCATTTAGTCTTATCAGTCCCAGTTCTGTTAATGAAGAATAGGAAGGATCTTCAGAAATCTCTAAAACTCTTTCCTTCCCATACCACCTTTAAAAAAAGAAAAGAAAAGAAAACAGAGGACAGGCACTACTGGCCATTGGAGCATTCTGCCAGCAGACCAGAATTTTTGCTGCCTGGCCACCAAAGTCACAGCTGTTTCTGTTTCTCCCTATTTTCAGGAGTGTTTTTTTTAGGAATGGCTGGTGGGATTTTCAGGGTGCAGAGATCCAGCCTGGAGATCCATCCTCTTCCAAGGTGAAAAAGAAGGATCTGAGACATCCTGGATTCTCAGAAACATGTGTGGAAGAGAAGGGAAGAACAAGGATGGAGTTTCTCTAGCCCTGGAAAAACAAGCCCCTCTGATTAGTTAGCATGCAAACAAACAAGCAAACCTGTTGGTCTGTGATGGAGGCCCCTCCTCCCATCTCTTGAAATTTACATCAAGATAACTCTCTAGCCAACAATTTGAAAGGCAAATGTTACTCGTATTGGGCAATATATGTTATTTAAACTCAGGAAAAAGGTAATAATGGGAAGTTAGCTGAATACAGAGAATAGTTCTGTCCCCTGGAAATATGTAAAAAGGTAAAGGTAAAGGTTCCCCTTGACAATTTTTGTCCAGTCGTGTTCGACTCTAGGGGGCGGTGCTCATCCCCGTTTCCAAGCCATAGAGCCAGCGTTTTGTCCGAAGACAATCTTCCGTGGTCACATGGCCAGTGCGACTTAGACACAGAACGCTGTTACCTTCCCACCGAGGTGGTCCCTATTTATCTACTTGCATTTGCATGCTTTCGAACCGCTAGGTTGGCGGGAGCTGGGTCAAGCGATGGGCGCTCACTCCGTTGCGTGGATTCGATCTTACGACTGCTGGTCTTCTGACCCTGCAGCACAGGCTTCTGCGGTTTAGCCCGCAGCGCCACCACGTCCCTTATTGGAAATATGTAGACTTTGCTTTTTTCGTCCCTATTTATCTACTTGCATTTGCATGCTTTCGAACCGCTAGGTTGGCGGGAGCTGGGTCAAGCGATGGGCGCTCACTCCGTTGCGTGGATTCGATCTTACGACTGCTGGTCTTCTGACCCTGCAGCACAGGCTTCTGCGGTTTAGCCCGCAGCGCCACCACGTCCCTTATTGGAAATATGTAGACTTTGCTTTTTTCTTTCTTTCAGATGAAGAACAATGAATGAAGTGCTTAGATCAAACAAGAATAAGGATCAATGTATCCCCAAATGAAAGAATTTACCTCTCTGATATGTAACATGTTTGTAACTTCTAGGTTACATGTTTTCTGGCATTTTATTCCAATTCACCCACAAAACCCTTTATAATCATAATATCGTCATTTAAAAGGCTTAAATGTTTTCATATTGCTATATTTTATTATGATTGATTATGTTGTATTTAGTTTTAAACTAGTATTGATGTTTTATGCTTCAATGTTTTGTTTATTTTTTTGCCTTTTGTTTTGTGGTAAACTGACAAGAGTGGCCACTGGTTAGATAAATGATCTAGAAATGAAATAAATAAAAATAATGAAATAAAAATTCCGCCAATAGTTCAAGAAATCAAACGGAAGCCATGTAATCACAACACAATAAAATGCAGAAGAATATGACAACTTTATTAGACTGCTAAGAATCAAACAATTAATGCGACCTTTTGTGGAATAAAAAATCCAGCTTTTAAGGATATTCTTCCTTGAGCCATAACGCATTTATGCTACCGGTCCTGCCATTGTTTAGCTGTAGCTTTTAGCTTTTCTGCTAAATTTATGACATTATATTTTGAGAATTTTTGTTGGACTGATGAACTGTTATTATTATATCATGGAGTGAATATCCTTTGATTTTAAACTGCCCAGCGTAGTGCGCGACACCAATTGGGTAGTATCATCCTCATCATCATTATCGAGATCATCATCGTGATGTGCTGTCAAGTCAATTCTGACTTATGATGAACCTTTTGAAGCTACAAGTAAGTAAGTAAGTAAGCAAGTAAGTAAGCAAGCAAGCAAGCAAGCAAGCAAGCAAGCTAGCAAGCAAGCAAGCAAGCAAGCAAGCAAGCTAGCAAGCAAGCAAGCAAGCAAGCAAGCAAGCTAGCAAGCAAGCAAGCAAGCAAGCAAGCAAGCTAGCAAGCAAGCAAGCAAGCAAGCAAGCAAGCAGGCTGTTCAGATAATCAGTGGAGGCTTTTCTCCTAGTCAAACCATCTTTAGCAATCCATTTGGTGGGCATACAGGAGAGGCTCTTCTCTCTAACTAGAATTTCTGATTCACCGCAAGCTAGGCTGAGGCCACCTTTGATGTCCTTCCACAAGCAGGCAAAGACCTTTTTCACTTCAAACATTTTTGGTTAATGATGTAAACTGCCTTGGATACTTCATAAGGAGTAATGTGTGGCAAAAATATTTTAAATAAATAAATAAAATATGGACTGAATACAAATCTCCCCTTTTCTGCTTCTAATTCTTGACAGAACTTCATCTTCTTCTTAGCTGTACTGTATACTCAGGGACGGGCATTCCTGACCCCTAAATTACTGCTACTTCTTTTGCTTACTAATTGCTCTCGGGTGTTTAGTTCAGGCCTGAAAATCATGATGTAGCATTTAGGGAAGAAGAGGAAACCCAACAACCCACCACTGGAGGTCAAGATGGAGAAGACCTCCACAGCCACGGTGTATTTCCCTTGGGTGCCAAGGTAGGCTGGCACAAAAGACACCCATATGCTGCAGAAGACCAACATGCTGAACGTGATCAGCTTGGCTTCATTAAATGAGTCAGGCAACTTCCGGGCAAAGAAAGCCACCGTGAAACTGATGATGGCCAACAGCCACATGAAGCCCAGGACCAGGTAGAGCATGAGATCTGAACCTTGGTTGCATTGAACTGTGATGGTGTCACTCTGGGAATGCATATCAGATTCTGGAAATGGGGGAGAAGTGGCCAACCATACAATGCAGATGGCAGTTTGAATCAGAGAAGGGAAGATGATGACTGACAGAGCAAGTCTGTTCCCAAGCCATCTCCTCATCTGGCTTCCAGGCTTGGAGGCCATGAAGGCCAAAATCACAGTCAAGGTTTTGGCTAAGACACAAGCGACGGACACAGAAAAGATAACACCAAACACCATCTGTCTCAGGAGGCAGGTCACCTTCCCAGGCCACCCAATGAAGAGGAAGGAAGAGAGAAAACAGAGGAGCAGAGAGGAGAGGAGAGCCCAGGTGATTCCCCAGTTATTGGCCTTGACGATGGGAGTGTGGTGGTAGAGAAGGAATATTCCCATCACCACAAATGTGTTCCCACAAAGGAGGAGAGCAAAAGACACCAGAAGTGTTCCCAGTGGTTCACCATAAGACAGGTAACTTATTCCTTTAGGAATACAGCAATCTTTGTTCTTGTTTGGATAGTGGTCTCCAGGGCACTGCTCACATTGGGCTGCATCTGGAGAAAAGAAAGAAATTTCCTACTGTTTGCAGAACGCAAAAACATTTTCATCTTCAATTGACCCCCCCCCAAAAATGTAAAGAAAACATGGACTTCCATTCAGTTTTTAAATAGTAGACTTGATTTTCAGAATGCTCTTGGGATTCAAGTAATGCATTCCTCTTTTTGTGTCAGGAGAAGAGGGAGCGGGGATCTTCACCTGAAAGTCCACAAAATGCCTTCACTTACCACTCTGGATTGAAATCCTCCCTGCAGGGCACTGAACACAATCATAGCAACACACTTGCTTCTCTGGCTGGACGAGCATGCTCTGCCCGGGATGGCAACTCTCAACACAGGTGGATCTGGGCACCTTCCAATGAGAAAGTAAGGTGTTTAGAAGGTGCCACATTTGGTTACAACTGACAAAGCTTTACAGATGCTTTTGAGCTTCCAGGTAGGGACATACACCACCACGACCACCACTATGACAAATGACAGTGATCACGGTATATTGGCCAGCATTCCATTGCTGCAAAAGTTGGTGGTTGCCACTTTGAGATCTTAAAGAGTCCCCTTCACCTGCATTCTGTGGCTATCAAAGGCTTCCCTAGAATGAAGGGGATTACTCTAGATCATTGGAACCTTGTAGTGAGGGGAATCAATATCTCTTAATAACCCCCAAAACAGCTGTGATTGGTCACAAGATTGAAGTTCAGTGATACAAAGTTCTGCAACAAGATATCATTTCATTTCCTATATTTCAATCTTTACGCTGTGCACTTAGTGGCCTGGGCAATACTTTGGGTAGCTAACAATCAGAACATCAGATGAACATAAACTAAATTTCAATGATGATATAAATTAAAATATTGAACAAAATCCCTCCGAAAACTAATTACAGTGGTGCCTCGCTTAACGAATGCCCCATTTAACAACGAATCCACATACCGATGTGGATTTTGTGATCGCTTTTGCTATCGTATTGCGATGTTGCCTATGGGGAAAAGCCCAATGCCGGTGGTGGCCTAAGAAAGACCCTTCCGAAGGGTCCTTCCAAAGCCATCGCCTGCATTCCCCTTTGGAAGGGACATTTTCTCCCAGCTCAGTGGGAGCCCCGCTGCTCAGCTGGGGGAAAATGTCGGTGGTGGGTGGTGGCCTCAGAAAGACCCCGAAGCCACCGCCGACCGCCGACATTTGCCTTCCGAGCTCTCAAAGGGC